CGTTGGAACTGTTCAATGAGATCAGCAGAGTAGAACGATGCGAGTATGGGCGATACCGGTGATCCTTGGGGAATTCCATTTTCTACTGGTGCCATCTCTCCTCTTTCCCCGTCCAGACATACTGCGGCTTCTCTGTTTGATAGGAAGCTTGCTGTCCACTTGACGTATTGGAGGGGGACCCGTTTTCGCCTCATCTCTGCTAGAAGTCGGTTGTGGTTGACAAAATCGAAGTATCCTTTTATGTCGAATGTCAATGCTGACGTCGCCATCCCATGGTTCCATGCTGCCTGCACATCGTTGATGAAGGATAGTATTGCGTCATTTGCAGAGTAGTTCGAGCGCCCTCCAAATTGCTGGTCGGGGATCAGTCCTTCCTTTCCTGCAATGAACGTGAGCCTTCTTGCGACTACCTTTTCCAATATTTTCCCAAGGCATTCCAGTAGCGCTATAAGGCGATATGCTCTGGGGTTAGAGTAGTCTGGTTTGTTCGGTTTGCGTAATGCCACTACAACTGCCCGACGCCATCGTTTAGGGTGGTATCCCACTGCTAGGCATTGGTGTATTAGGAGGAGTATATCCTCACTCCCAACATCCCATGCCCATTTTATTGCTAGGTAGCTCATCTGGCTGAATCCAGGTGCCGTTTTCATGCTGGCTCCTCTGATGGCTTCATCAACTTCTGTCCAAGTGACGTGTTCGAATGGCAAGTCGTCTGGTGTTGGGTCTGTTAGGTTTGGTCTCTCGTTGTCTGGTATTGGGGGTGGGGGTTGGAATAGCTCCTCTCTGAGTGCTCGTGCCTTGTCTTCGGTGGTTACTGCTGGAGTGGTGCCAGCGCTGCGAGAGATTGGGGGGCTAGGATAGTTACGTACCCCTTTTGACCAGTTTCTGAGGCCCCACATGTCTCTGGTATTCACTTCTTCTACCGTTTCTATTGCCCATTTTCCTTTGTAGAATCTTACTAGTCGCTTGAAGTAGTTTCGGGCTTTGGTGATCCTTCTTTTGATTCGTCGATCTCGTATGCCGTTGTCCAGCTCATACCTGGCTTGTTCCTGGCGTAGCCGGGATATGTTATCTGCCACTTCGTCTAGTTGGGGGTTCCACCATGGTCGTGCCTTGGGGCTCGGTTTTCTGCGGGGTATTGTCTCCTCTGCCGCTGCTTCCATTGCGTCCATTATCGCATTTGCTGCATTGTCTAATTCCTCTGTAGATGGTATTCTTGAAGTATCAGCAATTCGTTTGACAGTGTCATGGTACTTAGCTATTTGGGTTAGGTATTCTTCCTTGAATTCCTCTGGTTTTGCTGCCTTGTAATTGAAGCATGTTGCTGTAATGTTCTCGATCTCTATCAGCTCTGGGTCTACCGTCCAGACGATAGGGAAATGGTCTGAGCCATATGACTTGCTGTAGTCTATGGCCCACTCTTTGATCACTTCCTCTCTTCTCGCCTGCTCATTAGACCATGTTAGATCGATTACTGAAGCTTTACCCCGTGTTACAGAGTGCGGCATAAATGTGATCTTTCCCTTCTTGTTGTGTATCGTATATCCCTTTTCTTCGAGCCATTGGACGATCTCTCTGGTCAAAGTTCTACAGTTTCGTATGGTACCGTGTGCCCAAAGTCGGTGGTGGATGTTCCAGTCCCCCGTTATAGTCACTGGGACTCCTGTGGGGGATGTTTCCTATTGACAGAGTAGCGAACACGTCGATGAAGGGTTTTCCCTCCACATTGCAGTCTATCAATGATATCGTGCGAAGATTCTGCATATAGGAAATGATTATATCGAGGAAGGGCGAGTCAAGCAGTTTGCTTCCAGCCAAATTGCTGAAAATGTTTAACGTTTTAGGATATTCTGCCAACAACGTGGGATTTGCAGCGTGAATCTTGCTCAACTGAGTGATCGTAGTTGTCTCTTTGATAGGGAGGTCGATTGTTTCATAGATATACTCGCTGGCCAGTAGGGGATGTTTTGGTGATGGCGATGACGGTAGAATAGGCATTGTTCTGCTCTGCGACAGTATCAACGATTTTGTAGAGATACTCTGCTGGGAGTTTCGAATTGTCGCCGTATATATATGAGACGAGCTGAGAAGGATGGGGATGAAGAGCCTTCATCAAGAAAAGGCTTCTCTTATAGAGACCGCAAAGGACAGAGCAACGATGGTTTACCACATTAAGACCAACGATAAGGATCCGAATACCTTGGTTACACAAAGGGACACTTAAAGTAACCAAGCGCCTTTGTATTCCTTTCGTCTTCCGTACGGAGCTGCAGCCTGGAGATCGTAAGGGTTAGAGACCAATCAAGAAGAGTCGAAAGACTGGACAAATGGCTGACCAGAACGGTCACATTTATGCGACTATCACGTGATACACGTGATAGTGACCTTTCGCCTCTCCCTGCCTTCTTCGCGGTTTACTTCAGTTTTCCGTCTTACTTCGAATACTTTCCGCGTTATTCTCTACGGATGCCTGCCAAATGTGCCTCGCTATTGGTACCACCTCAGGCGACAATACTGCGTCCTTCCACCTTGTGACGGAGAATTATCAACAGTACTGAAAAAAGCCCCACTGAATAACATCGGCTTCAGTCACGTATATACAAGGACGGTGAAGAACCCACTTTCGTTGTCCGAAGTCAACATGGACAGAAATTGTACATTTTCTATTGTTGGCAGCATACATCAGGGCCGGTTATCAACGGTCGACGACCTACTGGGAACATCCCTCAAGTCATTATCGAGGCCATACCATTCGTTCTAGCCACGCCCATGAGTGCACCACTTCCATCATGCAGATGCCTATTACGAAGGCTCATGAACGTGTCCTTGATCTCTTCAGACGTGCGCTCAAAGACAGAACCCACAAGCTCTTGTGAATACTTCAGTTGTTGCTTGCTCCTCTCTTCGCCCGCCGCATTTGCCATTGAAAAGATGAAATCGGTCGGCGGATCGATGGGGAAAACCTGTGATGTGGTCCTGTCGTCGCTTGAGATGGCTTGTCAGCAGACATTGCGAGTCGCCGATCTGTACGTGGGTCCTGACGTCGTCGTCTGGAAGAGGATCACCAGGGTCGTTCTCATCGGAAACTGGGGCCAACGCTACGATACGGAAACGGTTAATCAGACGGGCTCAAGTCCATGGCAAAGACAGATACGCACCTTTGATATCATTGTCAATCATTTCCAATGTCCATCGCCTTCTTGCGTATTTCCTCTGTAAACAGTGTATGAGCTTCCCGACATTAAGAGATGTCACGAAGAGGGCGTCTCTACCTAGGGTTGGCGTGTCTTTAAACAGAACAGGTAAATATGAGAGATAAATGAAAACAGGCAGGACATACTTTTCATTTCGTCCATCCAACGCTTCGCATTTCTTGCTGTCGGGTTCAGGAAGCGAAAAAATCTTGAATTCGCCTTTGTGGCTTTCAGAAAACGGTGAATCATGATGGTCTGGATGACAAGAGGATGCCTTGTTCTGTAAGAAGTCCCGTCCAAGGTTAGGCAGCTGACGGATGTCGAAGGAAATCTGCGCCTGGCAGTAACCGTTACCGATGACTTGTGCTCTTCTCATCCATTTGTGGGCCAGATATCGAAGATCAACTCTGTATTTTCGAGGGACATACGACTGCGACCATGCAGAGAAAAATGAGACAGTGGGAAAATAGCGGAGGGTCGTCCCCAAACTAGATTTTGAGTTCGACGTAAAGGGGAAATTTCCCAGCAACCGGCTGTAACTTCAATAAGAATGGGATAGTGAAGAGCAACATTTGAGAGGAAAGGGCAGTGGAAAAAGTAAAGGCGAATGAAGGCAAGACAATAGCGCTAGATGATGGTCCAGAGGATACCGGTCCCCGGGCCAAAAGTCGGACCAAGACAATTATCAACCCTACTTCAATTAATTACCGCACCCACTGCACATGCTGCTTAGCACTTACTATTATCCTTCCTATAGAAATGTTGCCTAGCTACCTCACTCTGTATCCACCGTTCGGCAATTTTCACTCTAATGTGATTGTCCAACTCCCAACGCGTACCGTGGTAACAGTATTCCTCAAGTTCACCCTGGCATTAATGTCCATCCATGTGAGGAAATCAGGTACACTTTTTCCCTATATAAGCGTCACATATTGCAGCAATAGTTGAAACTCACTTACCGGAGGGCCTACTTTCTACTTGCTGTCATTTCATACGTACTGTTTTTGTTTCCCTGCCCTGCTATGACTAGCTGCGCCGGTAAGACACTATGCGCGTTCATTCGTGTGGCCTATTATATACTTACAAAATACTTTTAGGGTACTCAGGTGCTGCCCCTGGAGCTCATTGATAATATTACTGATGAGGTATCGCACTTCCACAACTATGATCGTGTGCCAACCTTGTGTAGTCTATGTCTAACCTCTCGGAAAGCAAGCATACGAGCAAAAGGGCATTTCTTCCGAGTCATCTGTATCACTCAATTGTCTGAAGAAACTCCAGCCTGGAGAGTCTCTGAGCTCCGCCGTCTTTTCAAATCGAACCAAGGTCTGATACCACTAGTCAAATGTTTCGTCACAGATACCGCCTACACACCTGACACCAGCGTCTCATTGTCACGCGGCCTCGCTTTAATCCTAGAGCATATGAACAACCTGACGCTCGTCGGATTGCAAGGTGTCCATCTTCACATCCTCCCCAGGCGAGACGCCTTTTTTGCTGCGTTTTCCGGCTGCACCAACCTTACCGACATTCGTCTGGAAGATATCAGACTTAGTTTCCGAGGCTTACAGACCATTCTCACCTCTGTGAAGCTCCCTGCCTGCTTTCGCCTATCTAGTATGCGTCTCGTCGACATTGAGGATCGTCGCGAACTCTATTACGACGAAGCTCAAGAACCTCTTCTGGTTGACTTTCAAGATTCTCAATGCAAGCTTCCTCAACTCCAGAAAGATCTTGATCTAGGAACCAAGCAATTAGTCTTGAAGTTGGTCTCGATATCAAAGAGCATCTTTATGGACATGTTAACAACTTCGAAGTGCCGTATCCTAACACTGGGGACCATAAAAAGACTCGCCATCCTCACTGCTACTTGTGACGGACTCGTTTGGAGCCGGATCCAGACTTTTCTAGAAACCCCGCAGGTCAGAGACTCTGTGTCTGAGCTACACTTGAGCGAGGACCTCTTATATAACGGTGAATCCACAGTACATTCTCGCTTCCGAATACATCTCATGCCCCAGCTAGACAACAAGAGGACCCGCATGAATGAGGAACATCTAAACATCCGACTTTCATAATGTGAACTCCTCGAGCTATCCTTCTATGTCAAAGATTGGGCACTCAATAAACGTCTACCTGGATGGTTCGCGAAAGCTCTCCGGAAAATCTCTCCTCGCCGTACCCCAATCAAAAAAATGACGTTAGTCTTTACATTCCATTTCATACGAGCGACACTGAACGGTATGCCTGATGATCAAAATGAGCAGTGGGCTCACCTAGACGATGCATGCTGCATCAATGGACTTACTACCCTCGCAGAGATTCATCTGCGTCTGCAAATTCAAGGTAATTCCAACAACATCCCCCCTCGTCCTCGCTACGGGTCTTCAGAGGATGGCCAGAGACAAGCGACGAACCCTCAGATGAGGTTGAGCACGAAGGGTCCGGTGAAGGCACCCAACATGCTGAAGACGGTGGAGAAGAGGATGAAGAGGAGCCTGACGAGGGTAGCCAAGATCGGAGGTAGGTCTCTATCCTTGAAAGAGATTCAAGAAAAACTGAATAATCCCGAGTTTGGCGCAGAAGAAAAGCTCGAAGGTAAATATAGAAGCAACGAAGACTCCCGGACCCAAGAAGAAATCGTACGCCAGATGGAACAAGCCTGCCGGGAGGCGGAGGAACAACGGGAGAAGGAAATGGCAGAGAGGAAGGCTTCGCTACATGAGTTCAAGGACAGCGCCGAAGAATGGCTGTTCAGGGTCTGTCTTCCTAACACCAATTCTATGTACGGCTTCCGTGTCCTCAGATCGGCATCCCAACACAATGTCGCGACCTCTGTGATCTTCTCAACTGACCCTATCGCTGTTTTCGATATGGATGCTTTCTGTAGACATTGAACCACAAACGCCTGGACCAGTTGATGGTACTGTTACATATCGTCCAATCAAAGATTACCGTACACGCATGTATTTTGAATGATGGTAATATTATGAAGTTCGGCGGTCACATTGAAGACAGCCAGGGTGATACAAGCTCAGAACGGCCAATGGTGAATCGTGATTATGTTGTTTGAAGAGTTTGTAGAAGCACGTCGTGCCTAATGGCACTGGTTGGTTCAGGATGTCTATCGAGTTCGATTATGAGAAAAATAATTCACGGCAGGAGACACACGTCTTTAGACACTATGATTTTCTCGGAAAATTCAGCTTGCTAGCCAGTGATCGAAGTGAGAAGAGAACACATTTATTTGGCTGCAAAAAAGGCTACAAGAAAGTGTGAGGACTATGATCTATGATCTAGTACTAGGCACCCTCTTGGAGCTGGTCATTGTGTACTATGAGAGCCGAACCAGCGAATTCATTACAGATCTCGACGATGGCTGAGTAAGAAACACAGGCCTGCAGAGTTTCGTCATCAAAGGACCCCGTGGGTCCACGGTCCTTGTACACCTTATGATGGTTCTTCCCATCGAACCCCTGCAGGAACTGCTGGCGAATGCAATTTATCCAGGGCTGAAAGTCAGTGAAGCCACTGTTTACCACAGGAGAGAATGAGTCATGTCCCGTAAAAAAAAAGGCCTTCTCCTTCTTCAAACCATCACGATCAAGTTTATACCAGCTGTCGAATGGGGAATGGACATGCGTGCGTTCCAGGATCGGGCGTCCGTCAAGATCTTGGTTAGCCACAACCTCGTAACGACAACAGAGGAGGAGAATGACGTAGAAGATGGACTCTACATCGTGTCGATAGAGATGCTTTGGTGGATGACCATTTTCGTCGTTGATGAGGAGTTCGAACGCCATGTAGGGTAGAGTACCGGTGCGCTGACGCGATGAAGGGCCAGTCTCATGTCGGTAGGCGGACAAGTCAAAGTCATTGAGGACCCCGCGTAAATGACCGTCGACAGTGCGGCGCCACATGATATTCCCGGGACTGATGTCACGGTGGAGGATTCCTGGGTGATCATACAGCCATTTGTGAACTATGCCAACCATCAGAAAACACCAGGAACACACAAAAAAACAGTACACACTCTGCAAAATATCAAAAAAGACCTGAGCATATTCTTGAACCGTCCGCAGTTCTTCAAGAGGATACAGCCTCTCCTGGACTGTAATTCGACAGATGCGTTTTTCATACTCGAACTTTTCCGCCTCTGCGAACATAGCTTTTGCAAAGAAGGCCACGAGATTCGCCTGAGTAGAATCCGCGCCATGATTAAAGTCTTGAGAAAGGAGAATGTCGGGCAAATGGTCTAAGGCCCAATCTGGCCTTTTCCCTTCCGGCATGGATCGCGCCTTCTCTCTGGCTGTAATGACAAACTCTGTCTCCGATTTTCGACTGGTAGCAGGCCAACTGACCTTGACGACCAGTTCTTTACCCTTCCACTCATCGTGCTCCGATGTCGCACCGACAACGCAAGTATTCCGACCGACGATCCCAGGCTGGCGTGAAAGAACTCGGCCAAGGGTGACCTCAACCTTCTTATCATCTTCACCCAACTTCAGCTTGAGCTTCACCCCAACAAACATCGCCGTCTTGTCAAAATTCTCCTTGTCCTTGGGGTCGCCACACCTGTCCATGTACGCCTTGTAATTCTCGATGAGCGCCCTGTCATCGCAGAGTTCCTCTTGGATGCCCCGCTGCTTCAGAGTGAGTCCACCCAATCCCACAAGCATTGCCGCGAACTCGTTCGTCACGACCTCTTCCGTAATCTTCGGCCGCTTGCCGTGCCATATAAACATGTCAATCGGTTTGCACACGATGATGACCGAGTGATCGTAGTAGAGGGGTTGTATCCGTCCTACCGTAACGAGAGCGCCAATACAGTGCGTCCGAAAGCCGGCGCTAGACAGCATCTCGTGGGCGTAATGACCACACTGGAGGCGAGCGGCTCGGCGCGCCTGCGTTTCTTCCTCCTTCCGTCGTGCAACATCTTCGACCGCGATTCCCTCTTTCGCAGAACTAAGTGCCACCGA